TATCCCCCTCATAAGAGCCTGCTTGCTTCTATTTGGTATAACAAGAAGCAGTTTTGTTCAAATGGTCAATACTGCTGTTGTCTACCAAAGGCTGTATCCCTGTGTCTCTGGTAGGGTGCGTAACACTTCCTTTGCTGTGGGGGAGTGTCTATCCGCAATGTATGTAAGGTGGTACATGAATCTTTCTAGAATGTAAGCCTTTGTCCATCCCTGAAGCAAACAATTTGGTCTTATCAAATGGTAGGTCCTCTACTTTGTCCTGGAGATCCTTAGGAACTCCTGCTGCTTGAAGCCAAGATGCACATCTCATTACTACTGGCGTTTCAGTAGCTCTTGGCGTGGTGTCTGCAGCGTTGAGGGCCATTTGTAGAGCTGTATGGGATATAGTATATTCCTCTTTAATTATGGCTTTAAGGATACATCTCCTGTCATCTGGGAGATGTTGTTTGAGCTTTGTTAGTTTCGCATAGTTGTTGAAACCAAGATTGGTAAGTAGGGCTGTGTAGTTCCTCCCAAACACATTCAAGTGTTTATGTTCTTTGTCTTGTGTATATGTTTTGTGTTGAAGATTTTTAAACCTTTGATTTGCAGCATCAACCATTAATTTTATAGAGGTCTATAAAATCATAAGTGGTGTGGAGAGGGTGCATAAAGAAAAGTTCTTCATTAGTTCCCATAATAGGACACCAAATGAAATGAATGGGTAGCAGGCTTCAAACTAATAAAAGAAGTTCTTCTTCACAAAGCAAATGGTCAACCTGTGGAACTCCTTGCCACAGGAGGCTGTGAAGGCTAGAACTACAAGGCTACATTTACACTGGCATGATTTTCCGAAAATACTTTTAAAATTGCCAATGAAGCTGGGATTTGAATTTCCCACACTTCATTTGCATAATCAGGTTATGGTGAACTTTAGAAAAAGCACTATTCCGAAAGTAAAACCGCAGTCTAGGTGCAGTTCTTTCAAAAAGGGAAGGCTTTTTCAAAAGATTCTATAAAGCTGTCGAAAAGGGGACATAATCTAGACACAGCAGAGAGCATCCGTAATCATAACCCATGATTTGGACCATCTGCAACTTTTGTTCTGCAGAGTCTACACAGCACCCTAATATTGAAATAAGATACACCATTTGCGCTATGCAAATGGTGTATCTTATCTCGAATCTATTTTGAAATAGCTTATTTTGAAATTTGGCACCTCTATACAGCATCAAATTTTGAAATAACGCGCTATTTTGAGCCATGCAACGATGTTTACCAGGATGACGAAATAGCATGCCTGTTACTTCAAAAAATATTTTGAAATAAGGGTAGCTTGTGTAGACATAGGGTAACTATTTGGGGATACTTCCAGTATCCTGAAATAGCTATGCAATGTAGACATACCGTAAGGGGAAATTATATCCAATCCCTTCTGACTATAGTGTTAGAATCCTGCTGGCATGATAGTCACTAGGATATAATCAAAGTAAAAGTGACACTTTTGTAGTCTGAAACTTCAGGAGCTGATGGTATATTTTTATTTGCCTTTTAATCCTTCTTTAGATGGCATGAGACAAAACACTAAAGAACTAAGCTAGAAGGAACAGTTGTCTCATACTGATCTGGAAATACTGTACATGGCAGATTATTTGCACCATCTGCTGCAAAAGTGTCAGTCAAGGAAAGCAGGGAAGATACTTAGGAATGTCCAGGTTGAGAAAACTCTTAAGAGGAGGATAAGAAACTCCAGTGGGAAAAGTTTACAGAAATGAGTAGTTCATCTGTCAAGAGGATTAAATCATATAGGGAGGAGGAACAGCTGGTGCAACAGCTGTTGTAAGTTTTGATGTTTAGTGGATATTCAGAATTTCCCTGCAGCCTGATAACACCCTTCCTTCACATGTTAACCTTGAGAAGTGTCTCATTTGTGATTCACAGCAACTTCTTAGAGTCTTTCATAGTACAAAAAGAGTAAAAGTTATATGCATAAAATGTGTACAAAAGAAACATAAAAAAATACAACAGCCCAAATACACAATCTTTGGCCAAAGCAAATATTTTTGTTGAGTGTAGCTACCTTCAAGAAGTTTCATACAGGAAGCAACAAGGCTCAGCGCTCCCAACACATACACAAATTTGAAAAGATTTAACTTTTACTATTTAGGCATAAACTGCAGTGATGCTTTCAATTTTGGACACCTTATATTTTAAAAAAGACACTGACAAATTGGAAACAGTTCAAAAAAGAGCAATAAAATTATAAAAGTTTATAGGGTTCCTTCTAACATTTCTATCCTTGGCTGGGTTGAATTTTCTTTTGGGTGAGTTGAAATTTCTTATGTGCAACAGCAATATTGAGGTAGAATGTGTCTGTGTAGATGTGGGTGTTTAATTTTAAGCCCTGAGCCCTGGACAACACATTTCTACAGTTTGAACCTCTCTAGTCTGGTATCCTCATGTCCTGACTGGCACTGAACCAGAGAATTTGCTGAAGCATTGGAGGTCAATAATGTCTAGCAGCATTACCAACGCTTCCACTGCTTGTTGGGCTGTCTGAAGACATTCAGGGGTAAATGAGAGCTGGGACTCCTGGCTGTAAACAAACTTTATGGGACTGTGGGAAACTTGTCCACACCCATAAGTAGACATCTGGCTAATTAAAATCATGCTGAACCTCGGATGTTGCTGGATGAGTGCGTGCCAGACTACAGAGGTTCATCCTGTACTGCTGCCTAAGGCCCAACCAAGAACTGGATCCCATTGTGGTAGACATGATAAAAACACAGAATAGTAGCAGTGTTTCCTCTAATGTTTTCTATCTTTGGGTGGGATGAATTTTCTTTTGCGCAGGTTGAAATTTCTTATATGCAAGACCGGTATTGAGGTAGTGTATGGATGTGCACCACACGCACACATATACATGAGTGCACACACACATTTTAAGCAATCCATTATATATATATAAAATATATTAAAACAAGACAACTGTGTCTAGTTGCTGTGTGGTAACATGGTAACATATACACAGCAGCAATACAACTTTAGCTATGTTAACTGCATAGCTGAAGTCAAAGTACCTTAAATCAGCTTTTGGTGCTGTCTACACTGCAGAAGTCGAAGTAAGAACACTCTTCAACTTCCCTTACTTCTCAGAAAGTAAGGGGTACCATGAGTTGGCATAAAAAGTCCTCCAGCTGGACATTATTTTGAAATAAAGGCTTGTAGTGTAGACATGCACTATTTTATGTCAGGATAATGTCAGTTATTCCAAAAGAATGCTGCTGTGTAAATCTACTTTTTGGGTGCATCTACACAGCACCCTAAACTCGAAATAAGATATGCAATTTGTATGCCTTTATGCAATACAATTTACCATGTATTAATTAGTAACACAGGATTTTAAGAAATCATTAAGTTTGGAGTTTTAGATATCTGCAACATTCCAAAAAACTTCTGTTGAAAAAAATCTTTTTCTTTCTTATCTTAAGCCATTAACACCTATGCAAATTTTGTTTGAAATGCAATCATGCAAATATTCTCCTAGCACAACCCTCCATGCAGCTTGCTTTCCCCTCTCTATCCAGCCTAACAGAGAGGACTACAACAAGTCAGGAGGACAAACCAAACAAGCTGCCCCATCTAACTGCACAGATGCCAGCACCTACCTACCCCATGCAGCCAGCTCCCTTCCCAGGCCAGGAGGGTTGAAGAGGCTGCGAGGTTTCTGCCTTTGCCACTTTGTGTCTCTCTCTTTCCTCTGGCAGATGGGATTCTCCAAACTCCCCTCCCCTCTGACTTTCCCCAAGCCAATAATGAATTACTCATTCACTCCTCCCAATCACTTATTGCCCTTTTATCTTTGCTCCTTAGCTTGCCTGCTTTTCTGCTCTGAGAGCTCCTCAGTTCAGCATGCAGCAGCATTTACCTGCTGTTTACATATGCCCAACCCCCACAGGTCAGCTGAGCTCTCTGCCTGCACAGAGAGCTTTGAACTTCTGAGTGGGGCTCAGAAAATAGCTGTGCAGCTGTGCAGCAAAACAGCTTAGAGGAAACTTTGAACTGGACCTAGAGTACATGTAAAGGCTAACAGAGACTTGATCATCTGGATATAAGAAGAGACATAACACAACTGTCTATCAGAACACAAAGAAGGTTTATATTAAAATGATAGGCTCCAGTTATTATGATTGGCCCAAACAAAATTAACAGGTTAAAACAGTAGCAGAAAAAATTAACTCCCATACTCATTTTAAATATTTATAAGAAAAGCTATGCATATGAGTACGTGACATTGCCACTGGTAGAAATATACTGCCACTTAATTCAATATTTGTTTAACTTGAGCATCTCATTTGATCAATACATTTGGAATTAAATTATCAATAAAAGTGAATAATTGCCTTCTTTTATTATACTTAAATATGATTATTTTATTCAGGCTTTAGTAAGAAAATGCCATATTCTGAAGATAATCTATTAGTTTATAAACGATTATTACAACTAATGTGTTGTTCAGAAGTTGCTACTGTAGTGATATGCACTGGTACATGACATGCAAGCAATGAGACACACCCTAGGGACAAATGGAGGGAGACCGCAAAGAGAAAAGATGTTCAAAGAAATGAAGGCAGTATACGTTTACATCTAAGTTAAAGTATTTCAGGAATAAGGACAATGATGCTGTTAAAATGCTGGCAGATGAATTAGGAGCCAATATTTGAGACTCCTCCCATCCCAAATGTTTTCACATCTCTTTTTATTTTTTTCCTCAATTTGAGAAATTTTAATTCCACATTTTGAACCTAGTGTATATTTGGTATCACAGCCTCCAACATGATTCAAATGGCACACATTATGTGCAGACAGCCTTTTCTCCCCTCTGATTACAAAGTTCATCTCTGAGAAGGAGAACCATACAGCCAAAATCAAAGGCCTGATGTCTGACCATCGCTTACCTTTGTAAGTGTAAATCAATATTCTGCGGTTTCTGTAAAATTAAAACAATAAAAAATTCTTACCCAGTTTTCAAGCTGACCAAGGCATCCTCAACACCTTTCTGATTATACTTTGTCATATAGAGATGCATATCTGGGTAGTTGTTTCTGATGTTTCTCTCTGTGCTCCCATTTGGAACTGTTCCAAATCGAAAGGGGGGTGAATAATCATATGGTCTTTGAAACTAGAGAGAAGCAAAGAAGCAGTCAAAAAAGACATGTAAATGCACGGCCTAGGTGAGACAACTCTATCAGATGTATTTCCCATTAAATAATTTGCATAGAAGGCCTGAGCTTTGTCAAGCTAAAAGTTCCATATATCCTGCTTCAAGGACAACTTGTGTTTCTGCCATGCTGGACTGACACCTTTTACAAAAGCTCCTCTTGTGTAGCTGTATGAATGTGCTCATGTCCAAAGTAACGTCATCACATTTACTCTACTATAGCTCTCTCACAATCTCTAGGGAATCTTCTTATGGCAGCTTAGTTGTCCACAGGAGGCATTATTAATTCTTTGATTAATAGTGAATTAATGCTCACAAATCAGACATCAGACATCTTCACAAGGAAAAACCAGTTGCTTTTCATTTCAGCCTACCTGGACATAATCTTAACGTCCTTACTACATGCATGTTACTTCAAAGAGACTTTAACACCAGATTACAGAGGGAAACTTCAGAACTTTCTTTCATGCTTAAATTTGACACTTTAAAAATGGGCCAAAGATGCTAATTACCTTAACCATTACAAAGATAGCTTCCCCACTTATCACCCCTGATTAGCTATTCATTGACTCATAAATAACTATTCCCTCCCTCCCTTCTTCTTGTTCACCCCACCTTCTCTATTAAATCTGATTTGTCAGTTTAATAATGTGCTCACTTTTTTCATGGTATATATGGTCATGCCAATTCTCTTCCAGAATATGATCTGAGGAAGTGGGTCTGGCTCACGAAGTGGGAAGTGGGTCTGGCTATTAAACTATCTTGCTAGTCTTTAAAGTGCTACATGGTTTTCCCTTTTGTTCTTGAAAGATCAGACTAACACGGCTACCTCTCTATTATTACTCCGACTCCTGTAATCATCATTGTGAGAGGAAGAGTGTTCTATTTTGAAATAAGTGCTGTGTACACGTTCCTAATTTTGAAATAAGCTATTATGAAATAAGCTACGCAATTGATGTACTTCAATTTGCATAGCTTATTTTGAGTTAAGCCCTGCTGTGTAGATGCACCCTGACAGTTCTGGCTGGGATAATGCACACATAAGCCCAGCCCCAACTTATGACTTAAAACTGACAAGCTATGGAGCTAGGAAAGTCAGCATGGACAGGCACCATACTAGGAACACCTCAGTATTTCCCTTTGGGCTTATGGGTTTCAGACTGAGTAAACATTTGGATATCATTGTAAGAGAGCATTACCAGAAGTGAAGGTTAATTAAAATATTTTGCTAAAGTTTCCCCTAAAGTAACTTGACTAATGAGGAGCTTCAATTTAATATGACTAACAACAATTAATAGTGGGAAAGACATTATCTATGATCCTCACTCCACAGTTTCAGTGGTAAAATGCTCTTTCTATTATTACTGTAAAGGTTAGAGTCCCAATCCATCTACTGTATGGTATGAAAGTCAGCCAATATTCATTTATACAGCAGTTGCTTCCTTTGGACCACAAAGATAGTGCTTGCCTTTGTAAATTTTGCTCTTGCTAAAACAAGAATTTCCAGCTTCCAATGCCCACTGTGAGACAGATTTGTATAGGCTTGCCTATAAACTATTTGCTATAGGGACATTTTCACTTCCATCAAACCTTGGTTTTAGGCTCAAAATGGTTTCTTTATGCAATATATTTTCATGGGATGACACTGCAATTAAATATTTCATTTTAACAAAGCCTATGACCTAGAATTAAACTTTACTTTTATTTAATTTTGCTCCAATACACTTCTTCCTGTATATCTCTGTTTGCACATTCACACTCCTTTCCCATTTAAAGGATTATTTCCCTACCTTATCTGTGTCAGTTGATTTAGGTTTACCCTAAAATCAGACATTTACGCTTTAGCTCATACTTCTTGCGACTTATTTCTTGCTCTCTCCTTTCTGAATTTTGTAAGCAGAGTAAGCTAGATTATGTTCCCTGACATATACCCACAACTTCCAATTATGCCAGTGGGAGTCAAATTCTGAGAAAAGAATTAGGTCCAGGTATTTGTTTCACTTTACAATTAATATCTTAGAATTAATATGACTAATTTGTTAAGTACTAAGTCTTGCTTCTAGTTACTTCAAAGGCTGTTTTAATTTTGTGGGCAAAAATCATCAGATTTTCAAAATTCCAACCAAAGTTTTTGCAAAAAAATTAATTTTTGCTGTTATTGAAATAATTGACATTTTCAATATTCTGTTGAATATGGAAAGTTCTGTTCATATTACTAATGTATAAAAGCAGAATTGGAAAAAAAGTGAAAACCATTCCACGATGAGTACAGCTAGTTCGGATTAGGAAGCCTAATCCGAACTAGCTGCTCCGTGCCGTGTGTAGCCGCATGGCATGGGGTTCGAACTGCTGGCATTTAAAAATGGCACCGGCCGACTTCATGCAAATGAAGCCCGGGAAATTCAAATCCCGGGCTTCATTTGCAAGTGAGGTATGCCTACATTACCCTCCTAGTTCGAATTAGGAGGGTAGTGTAGACATACCCTCAGTCCTTTATTCTCATGCTGAGGTGTCTGTTGAGAAAAGCCGCTTCGCATCTCCCTGGTCTGCTGGGGGGTGGGGGTGGGGCGCACGCTAGCTTCGCGTCTCCCTGGTTTTCTGGGGGGAAGCAGCTAGTGTGGGGTTGCCTCACCCCATTTGTAAGTAGGGATCCGATGTAAGTCGGATCTATGTAACCCGGGGACTGCCTGTACTGCAAATATTTCCCCTAGCTCTAAGTAGAAATTTGAAAATCTTGATACATTAATAATAACTATTCTATAGGCTGGAGGGAGCCTACAGAACCACAAGTCCATAAAACATGGTTTTGAGGAAGTAGCAAAAAGTCCTACATCTAGCAAGCCTTGTTTTTAGACTCAAATTTTCACATATTTTCAATCATTTTGAAGCAACCTGAGGAGAATTAAAACATATGACAACTGTCAGGAAGCTGTTTTCTTTTTAGACCTTTTGTGAAGTATTTTCAGTTCATTTTAGTAATAAAATATTGAAATTAAAGGCAGAAAAAATTAATTTTGATCATAATAGGAATTTTCATATTATTCAAAAGGCTATCAGTCCCCATATTATGCCTGCTATTAGCACTGCAGCATATATAGCAACCAAAAATTCTTATCCACTGATCTAGGATCTCCCATACACATATATCAGCTGAGAGAACAGTCTTAGTCTCATTTTTATAATTTGTTTTTGTTTCTATGCCTTTCTACTCCAGATGATTTCTTCCAAGTGACTGATATCAGGTTATTATTCACAAGTAACTTGATCCTTCATGAATATATCCACATTTGAACTCTCTTCCTTTCCAAACAACACTATGGTTCCTGATATGCTGCCATCAATCTATTTCTTACAGTTACAGCATGAAGTGGAATTAAAAAAAATTATAGTCAGAGTTATCAAAAATACAGATAGAAGCTTCTACCTGACAATTCTGATGACTCTTTTGGAATGTCTGTTTCTGCTGGGAACATGCCTCCTATCCCAGATAGACAAACATATTATCTTGTGTCAAGCTAGCATACTAAAAATAGTTGTAACCATGTAGCTAAAATGTAGCTTTTTGCAAAGTAATATGCTTCAGTGTACTCTGGCAGCTACACTTCCTGAAAGCAAAAAGGATCTTTGCCTTATGCGGCATATTGCCTTTTCTCCCATAAAAATCCCAGGTGCTTCTTATAAGTGTAGCATAGTCGTATAGTCACCTGGTCGTATGGCTGGTCACCTGAGCATAGGTGGGCTGGAACCTAGGCAAGTAGTCTGTGCTACTACTTATGCCACAACATTCACATCACTGTTTTTAGCACACTCACTCAGGCAGAGCTGGTGCATATTTATCTACCCAGGCTGTCTATGTAGACATTTGGGCCATGTCTACATTGGCACCCTTTTCCGGAAAAGGGATGCTAATGAGACCAGTCGGAATTGCAAATGCCGCGGGGGATTTAAATATCCCCCGCGGCATTTGCAATTCCGACTGGTCTCATTAGCATCCCTTTTCCGGAAAAGGGATGCTAATGAGACCAGTCGGAATTGCAAATGCCGCGGGGGATTTAAATATCCCCCGCGGCATTTGCAATTCCGACTGGTCTCATTAGCATCCCTTTTCCGGAAAAGGGATGCTAATGAGACCAGTCGGAATTGCAAATGCCGCGGGGGATTTAAATATCCCCCGCGGCATTTGCAATTCCGACTGGTCTCATTAGCATCCCTTTTCCGGAAAAGGGTGCCAATGTAGACACAGCCATCCTGTGTTGCTCCAATAGCAAATGAAAGGGTAGGAGGGGGAGAGAGGACAAGGCAAAACTTCTGTTCCAACTAGCCATTTAGCCAGGATGCATGTCGACTTAAGTCTGCTGTACTCTAGCAAGGATGCAGTGAACCATATTTCAGTAAACAACTGCTCAAACACACACACTATATTAGTCAACACAAAAAACTATGGTAAAAAACTTCATGGATGCAAAGTCAAGTAGTCCAATGTTAGGAAATACGAGAACTAAGGCTGGCTGTGAAAAAAAATCCAACAGATGCAGACATTCAATACATAAAATTTCAGCTTGAATAGTTAAAGTTTGGTAAAGTTAAAAGCAACGAAAATGATCTTATAATGGTGAGTGCAGGGCAACCTTAATAACAGGTGCAGTTGGAAGTCCTTAGGTTTGAAAGGATTTGATTTTTATCAGTTAATATCAGTAAATCTTGATTTCACTGTACTCACAAACCAATGACAAAAATAGTTCCATTGATAATAATCAAAATTTACAGATAGAGTTAAAATCCAATGATTTAGATTTTTTTAATTAGGGTGGTTACAAATATACTTTGTATATTTTGATAAATGATATTAATTTGTATTTTAATGGTTTACACAGCTTTAGCTTGTTTGAATTTTAATGTCTATCACCATTACATAATTATAAGTGATGCTGTTCCAGACATAAGGATTTCTAGGAAGAGAT